TTATTTTATCGATTAATCGAAGCATTATTTATTACACATGCTCAAACTAAATTAAATACATTGGGTCATTTAGATGGTATGATTGTGAAAAATAACAATTCTAATGATATAAATGCGCGCATAGTTGATGATCGTCGTGGAAATTGGTGTCAAGATCTTGTTCGTCGTCCTCCTATGTAGCAGTTTGCTCAATGATCCTACAATTATTTTAATGAACTGCAGCTTTTCTTTTATTATTTTAATCAGTTTTCTATTTCTTCTATTTTTATTCATTATATTTTATTTCTGCTTGTAAATTTATATTTATAAATCAATTTCATTATGTTTTAGTTATCTACTTTCAACTATAGTCATGGACAGCTAAAGTGAAGATCAAATTCGCTCTACAAGATCAAGAATGGATAGAATGTTGCAGATGCTTGATCAATCTGCAGAACATGATGAATATTCAACTGCTCAATCACATTCATTACCAGCATACACGACTCGACATGGTTTGTGCTTTTTGTTTAATCAGTATTCTGTATTAAGAAATATTTTCTGTATATCTTTTTACTATTACAGATACCTTATTTTCATTGGGACGACAGCATTACGTGCCAAGTACTAGTCAACGAACAAATGATCTGCAACAGTTCGATAAAATGGACACCGATCTTCCATGGAATTATAAGATTCTCGAAACTGATGACGAAAAAGAAGATGATAATAATCATAATCAAGAAATACAAAAACTAGATGTAAATATACATAGATAAGTTACTTTTGTTATATTTATTCCATTACTTTAATTAAGGAGTTAATTTTATCACAACAATTGCGCGAGTTATCAACAAATACCACACATAATGAAGAAGTTCTCATGAAAGATATGAAAGATGAAATTGAGAAAATTCCAAATTTTTTAACAAAACATGATAATTCATTTAAACAAATGTTGTATCAGGCACAATTATTAATAAAATCAACAAATACAACAACAACTATCGATATTAAACAATTACGAGAAATAGCAATTATAATCTATAAAATCATGATTATACAAACTTATCATGTACTTTGGACGGCATATTTGAAATCAGGTCGAGGACAACTAATAATATCATCCGAAACAGTACCAATATGGCCAAAAGATATTACAAGTTTATTGAAAGTTAACAATACAACAAATTCTCATGAAATTTATTTGAATTTTGTCAATCAACATTTACATGCATTAGATCATCAACTAAATATATGTAAAACTAAATTGAATACAAAAGCAAATAATATAGATGGTTATTGGTTAATGGTTCAAAAAATAATAGAAATATGTATTGAAAAACATATTCGATCTTTTTGTTTGAAAACTGAACATCAAATTGAATTGATACATTATGATTATCACATTCGAAAATTGAAATTAGAATATATTCGATTTAATTCCTAATCAATATCAAGTATGTTTTTTGTAGGAAATAAATACCTTCTTTTAATTTAATTCGTTTTTATAGATTGAAATAATGAAAAAGATTTGTCGAAGTAAATATGAACAAGAAACAACAGATTAAGAATATAATTTCTTGAAGCAACAGATTGATTATTATAATTCACCTAATCAATCGTTTCAACATTTACCTCTAGCTCAAGCGACAGGCATTGAAACAATTGAAAATACAGAGATTCGACAACAATTATTGAATCAATATAAAGAAGTAACTTTACAAGTTAGAGATAATTTATTTCCACTATATCTCACAACAGCTGCAGATCAAAAAGAAGAATTTAAAAAGAAGTTTGAAGAGAATGTAAAAAAATTATATACAGATGGTATTTTCATCAATGGAAATCGAAGGTTATCTTTATTCTTGATTGAAATTATGAATCAACGTTGTGAAAAAATCAGTGAACGTATCAAGTGTATATATAAATTTAAAGTTCAATCTACTCTCCTTTCTGATTAAACTTTATATTTTATTTAATCTATCATTTGTTTATCATTTATTTCATATATCATGCTTTTTTTTTCTTGTCTCTTTTCAGATAAATCTATCGATCTATAACTACTACTGTAGAATGAATGTCAACGATGATAATAATCAACAATTAAAGATAAAGTGTCATGGTAATCGAAGAGATCAACGTTTTCGTCGAAAATGTCGTAAACGTGGAATGAGACCAGCAAAAATAGAAAAATTACTTGATAAATTCAAATATCCAAATGAGAAAACAAGACGAATAGAGCAGTGCATGAGAGATTTAGCCTATTATAACAAACAATTAACAGCACCAGTGTTTCGTACTTCATTAGATCAAGTAAGTAATCAATCAAGCCAGTTGACAGCAACAACAACAGTTACAACACATTTGAATAAACGTAAACGAAATATATCACTTCAAGAATTAAAAGCAAATTCAGCAGTTCCAAAATCAACAAGTTCAATATCTATACGTCAACCATTATCGAAAAAAGCAAAACAACAGATAACAACAACAACAATGCCAATGATACAACAAAACAATAATAATATTCTAAATTATGTCTATCGGTTCGTTTCTAATTTTCATTGGTTCTTTTTATACAATTTCTCACTCATTATATCATTATAGACGACCAATGTATTTACAACGATCATCTTGGATACTTTTTCAAACATTAAGTAAACGATTAAATTATTCATTAAATGATAAACATAAACAATATATTTATACACGATTAACTATATTAGATCATATATATTGTCTGGAAGTTCATTTACAATTATGTAAATCATTTTTAGATATTGGTCGTACAGAGCATCATTGGCCGGTAATTTTGTTTTTTGTATATTAAATATTGTTTTTATTAGGCTATTTATTATTATCATCATAGGAAGAAGTTCAACTGTTATCAAAAAC